GAGTTTCTAATTCATAAGAAACTATAGACTTAGTATTTTGACTTCACATACATCTAATTTGAACCAGTGCTGCATTCAACATACCACGAGGCACACAAAAATTTATCTGTTTTTTTTAATATTTACTTTTAAATTAACAAATTGAGTAATGTATAGTTCTAAAATTTGAATTATGATCTACAGTTTGATACCAAACTTACTGACATAAATTCATGAAATAGTATTTCAATAAATTTTGAATAGGAGTCAACAAACAACATGACATGGCCTTTCACCTGTGACCCATCTCGAAAGGGTTAACTAAGTTGAAATAAACAGACTCCATCAGTTAAAACAGGGTTTGTGGCATCAGCTTTAATATTGCTGACCTTTTAGCTCTTTTCTTAGCTGTTCTTTCTTCTGCCTTCCTTCGATTTTCTTCTACCTTTTGATGGTACTTTTCTTGTAAAACTTCCTATAAATTTTACATAATAATTATTTGAACAAAGATAAAATGATAGTCTACACTCAGTTATGCATATAAAGATCAATACATTAACTTGAAACATTAACTGATTGCTGCTTTAAAGATGTTGAATAAGTTTCACAAAATTTTTTCATATATTTAAATTTACTTATATGAAATGAGACAGAATGAACTGAAAAGAAAAAAAAACATTCTAAATTTCATGGGTATTTTACTACCTTTTAATAAAATAAAACTCCAGATTTTGTAGTATAGATGAGCTGTGGGAATGATTAAATAATTAATAATTCTTAAAATTCTTTCCTATTACTGTTTTCAGCAAATAGATTAGTTAAAACAAGTAGAACATCTAACAATGCAACAGCTCCATTTTTATGTATTGTTAATCCATATGTAAAACATTCACTGCATTAAGAACACAGGAAAAGTACTTTTAAATAAATATATATGTATTTAAAAATAAGATATGCAAATGTTTGAAAGTTAACATTTTCCTAAATTGAAAATGTATATCAATAATATTTACCCCCTTGACCAACAACTCTCTGATAGCCCTGCAACGAAGGTCCACACTGTGAGGATCTATTGGAGGTGGAAATACTACAGGTTGGGGGAAAACTGTGGAGGAGATGTGAAGTGAATGACCAACCCAGATGCAAGAACCTGGAGTACCCATGGATCTGTGGTAAAGGAATTCCACATGTCCAGAAAATGTTATCAAGCCCCCACCATCATAGGGTAGTCACTGATGTCACTGATAACAGTCTGCTTGGGTGGAGGAGCCTCTTTATAAGGACAAAATCTATTCTGGGTACCAATAGATCAAGGAGCTGAAGCCAGGGGTTGGAGTGCAAAATGAGCAGTAGCGCCTTGTCTCCCAGTAGGAGCCAAAGAAAGTCGAGAGGCTAAAGACGACAAGAAAGAATGTAAATGGGAACACCCACAAACATCAAGGAACGAATAAAGGGAGCCTCACGTAACTCATGGAGGGTGGCAGCTGGTAGACAAACACCCTCTAACAAGGCATCTCTACCCAATAAGTCCCAACAACATACAAGCTAGGAAACCAAAGAAAGAGCAGAAGCTGACAATCTTACTAAGGTAGATATCAGCAAAGGCCCTAAATCATCATCAAATTGATGTGGGGATCACCAAGAGGCTTCTGATAAAATCTGGAGAGAAGATAAATATTGCAGAACTGTAGTGAGGGTCAGATGAATCCTAGAAAATTGTGATCTGTTCAAATTGATCACAGGCTCCAGTCTGGAACCACACATTTTCAAAAGTGGATCAAGTCTTTGTGAATCTAAATATACTTCCTACTGGCAGTGATGAGCCAAAGCATGTAGTTCTAACAAACATGGTGAGCAAGGCATAGTTATTCCTTCATGTATCTGAGTGGTAAACTTCCCCGCATGAACAGCAATATCAGATTATGGAGGAAAATCTAAGTATTTGCCCTCAGACCTTTCCACCATCAAGGAACGAGTAGAATCAAAAGCTACTTAGGAAAGCCCCAGAACCTCACACACCCAATTAACTGAAGAAAAGGAACATGAGGTGGCTGATCCAAATTGGCCTCATGAGAAGCCAACCAGTAAATGAAGGCACAGGAAAAAGCGAGTCTAAATTCTGTCCAGAATGTCCTGGATCATCGACAAAAGCAGTTTCAGAACCTCCCAGAGAAACATCCCCATTCCTAATATACGTCTCCATCTCACTACGAATCAGATCATGGAAAGCATCAACTGAGAGTGACCCCCGATGACTGAGAGATGCTAGATAACAGAGGTGGAATAGGGGAGGTTTCATTAGCCTCCATGTCAGAAAGAGTAACCCGGGAATTCGTGCCTGCAAACGAAGATATTTTTTATATATATTTATTTATTATTCATATTATTGAACGTAAATCAACTAGGTGATATGAAAATTGCAACCAAGGGCTTTAAAAAATACAGTACTTCTTTACAGAAACCCATTCCCAAATGCTTTGTTGAGAAAAAGTGATAACCTTATCTGAATGAAGTGCTTATATATATAGTACCAGGATAGGGGGCACATTGACGTAGGTGGAAAGTATCACGAGATAACTATTGCCAAGGGCAACTGAGTGGGGTATAAAAGACTGGAGCAATGAGAAAAAATTAGACCAATGCATAGATGGGAAAAGAAAGAAACACTGGCAGTCAAGTAATAGCTATAAGTTGGTGCAGAGGTATGTATGTTTTGGAACTAAGTAATCTAGTGGTGCTGTTTTTTTTTATATTCAAAATACAGAGAAATCAAAACTGAATATAAATTATTGCCCAGATGCCTATGACAAGTGAAAGCCTGATTTGGACACTTATTCTGTGTTTCAACATAAAACAAACAATAAAACATCAAAAATCCCCAGTACCATGCATATGCTTATGTAAATCAATTTATGACATTCAGGTATTTGGTATAATTGTGATTATTGACTATTGTTTTTACAAACATGTAATTCTTTGTGACTGTAAAAAATATATTTGTTTTAAAGTAATTTATTAAATGATTGAAATGTTAATTCAATGTAGATGGATTAAAATATCTCCCCATTTGCTTTGTTTCATCGGAAACAGAAAGTCTTAAAATTCTACACTGTTTTTACAACTTTTATTTAAATTAAAATATGATATTTCTAACTTGCCCAGTTGTCAGCAAAGTTACTTGAAAAAGTTACATAAAATGAAATTATTTAGTTGCCAACCAAAAAGTTCTTAGATATTGTAACAGCAAATATAACTAAGAAATTAAGGCTACAGAGTTGAGTAGGAAAACTGATATGTGCAGAAATTAATAGATGTTGAACAACTTTTATATCTTACAATCATAAAATGAAGAAAAAATTCAAATTTAATTTGTAAAACCCAATATTTAGCACACTTTACAACATAGATCCTTTTCATCAGACAACACAAGTGTGATATTCATAATTGCTATTAACTGCAACAGAATGTTCTTAATGATATCATTTTCATGCATAAAACCACTAACAGTTTCTAACAGTCATTAAGTACAACAATTGTAGAAATTAGGAAAACTTTTCATAGTTAATATACTTATGCAGAGAACCATAGTTTACATTACTATTACAGCTGAGGTCTATGGAAGTGCAAAATTATTGTTTATATACAACCAAGATTCATTCTGTATACATCATCAACTATCTAATAATCAACAAATTAAGAAGGTCTACAACTAACCTCCCCAGCTTTTTCTTCAATAAATTTTTGCCGTGTATATTCTTTACGTCTAAGATGTCTGTATACATGAAACTCACCACTCCCAGCTCCAGCACTAGAACCTAGAAAGTAGAAGTGACATTTTAAATTTCTTACAATTTAGACATGTTTTAATATCAATACAAAATATAATCGGTAAAATGTTTTACTTTACTAGAATACACTACTGTAAACTGGAGCATTTCTCAACAGCCTAAGCTACATATTGTCAATAAAGAAGAGGTGGAGTCATATTTCATTCTTATTTCTAAAGTGTATTCTGAGTTCAAAAATGAAGTTGCTGTTTTTTCTAGGAACTATAAATGATCAACATATCCAACATGACCTATGATATAAATTAGGAAACAAAACAGTTACGTTACATCAATGTTCACATAATTAATGTTTGAAATACTATAGTGTATAAAGAAAGTAATACAAGGTGCTTGAAGTGAAAAAGTATATATTTTTACAAATATTGCACTTAAGGAAAATACATTATATAAGAATTTTTTTATAATGTGTTTATAATATATATATATAAAATAGATAGATATAATTTACAAAAAATAACCTTTACATCATTTTTAGATATCCCATAAAAAAAAAAAAGGAGCAGAAAAATAGAGAGCTTAGTACCAATATAAACCACATACACTTCTCAGTATCTACATTTAGCTTTTCATTATCTGGAAATCCATAAAGCTCTATTGTTCACTTTTAATGAACAGATCCAATACAATAAAAAATGCCAAAAAATTCTGGTTCAAAGGATGAAAGGAGACATGAAAATGACAAACCATTTCATCACTCATAGAAGAATAAACTAGTCAAATGAGGTGAAAAACTAACTGGTCAAAGAGGAAGAAGTTACTAGAAGAAAAAGATTTCCATGGTGGAAAAAATGTTGGCAACTGCTTTGAAACAAGGCAGTATGAGTGAGATGACGATGAACAGCCTGTACAGGACAAAGGAGAGGATAATACAGGGAAGAAAAGGGATGTAATTGGAAAACAAATCTGACCAACTTCCCAAGCAGCCCAACATTGTGAGAGAAAGGGGTGACCAGGGAAATAATATTAACATGACCCTGTGGTAAGGAGTGTGAGAGGTGTGCAAAGCAAAAATGGCAGAGAGATGGCTCCTGCATGTGAGAAGAAGAAAGATGGTACAATATGGTGGCCAAGAGTTCAAATGGGAGACACATGAGAGTCTAGAGAACTAAACAGAGTTTCCAGTCCAGAAAAGTACCAAACAAAATAGACAACAGATTAAAAAGGCTCAACAGAGATTTTTAAGAACCAGAGAAAGAAAAGGAGAATGGCTGGGGGATGGACAAAATGTCAAGTACAATACAATCCTGTAAAGAGCAATAATACAAATGGAAAGAAGTTGAAGAGGAAAAATAGCCATATAAAAAGAGACTGAGCCAATGAAGACTTGGAGCTATAGGACCTGGGACTGGAGATAAAAAAAAGTTAAGGAAAGTCAGAAAGCCAATGATGAAAGAAATCCACTCTGTGGAAGGATCCATGTAAGTAAGGTAATCATCCAGCTTTACTCTGAAAAGTGAACCAATCATGCAAACTTTTGTGTGATGTAGAATTATGTAAAGTTCACAAAAACTTTTAATGCCAACTGTTTCAGCTTACATGTTGATATGTGTTAATCAACTGGTGGTCACAGATCAGAAATTAAAAAAATATGTAAATTTGGACTTCCTTTATAGTACTTAGTTACTTGCTGGAAATTAAAGTGTTGTAGTATATAGATAAATACATATTTGGATCATCAAAACAAACCTTAACAATTACAACAAAAATGTTGCATATATTAAAATGTGGGATATCTTATATGCAGCATTTCTGTTTTGTTATTAAGGCTTGATTTCATAATTAAAATGTTTTTTTTCATCACAGACTTGGTCCTATCTTTTTTAATGCAGTCCTTCCTTTTGATTTTAATATTTACTTAACTGCTGAAATAATAGTTTTACATACACACACACAGACATATATATGAAAAACTCACTAAAACCTCCAAGATGCAACATGATGTCAACATGACATTTGAGAATTATGAAGTACTGTGTAACTATACACATTTTTATACTTTATGTACTTGAAGATTTCAGTTATCTTGAAATCTTCATAAAAAACAAACCAACAATCTGACAAAATGTGGAATGATATATTCTGCATCAGGAATACTAATGTAGTATTTGTTCAAGGAAAAGAGAAGAAAAACAGAGTGATAACCAGAATATCCATGCTAGATATTCTTGTCTTTTTATGTTAAGCTTATAATGCATAGTACCAAGATTATTACTTATAAAAATTGAAAATATTCAAGAAAAGAAAATGAACACAAAATATATTACCCTACAATGCTTTCTTCTGGTATATTCTTAGATGTACACATTTAATTTTTATACCATTTAACCCTTTGGATACGCGTGGGTTAAAGTACACGTCATGATCTTTCTTCAAGTTGCATTCAAAATTTAATCAAGCTAGTTTATTATAAACGTATGTTGACAAACTTATCATCAAAACAGTTTATAACTCAAATTCTTATATCACCTATGTTTAATTTCCCAATTTCAAATGGAAGAATTGAAATAAATTCTCAATCTTGATTTTTCTATGTCATATGATGCAATTATGCTCCAAACTCCACATTTTCTTTCAACCTTTATATGATTTTTTGAATATGCAACTAAATTACAGAAACATATTATAGATATCAACAAGTAATAATATAAACTTAAAACCTCCAATCTTCTTGCTTTACTGAGATATAAACAAAAATGTCAAATCCACATGACATGCCCCTTCTGCATCACAAAAACATTAGTAGTTCTCTATGATATTGCTACTGGATTATTTATAATAAAAAGAAAAAACATATTTTACAGATTCTTATACAGATTATTTTGTTCTGGTGCTCATTAGCTATTTAGCCTCAGTTTCATTGTTTGCTTTGAGCAGCAACTGGAATTATTTTAACCTATTTATGGTTTAATTAGAAAGTAAGTATTAAATTTCTTGTTTTCTTGTATGTATATTTTCTATTTCTAAAGTAACTAAAACATACAAAATTAGAAACTTAACCCTATGACTACCAGCTACTACCAGCTACTACCAGCACCATTTTTAAATTCCTTTGCATGTATAGTACTGCATTACATTCAAAAGTTAATTAAACAATTTTACTATCAACATACATCAATAAAAGTAACATTATAAGGTACATTATAATTTGAATTTTCATGTTAGCTTAGTTTTAATTACTTTGTTTCAAATGAAAGCTTTCAAAAAATATTTAATCTACAGTTTTCATGTCACGTAATCCACGTGCTTTGAATTCAAAATCTTGACTTTAGCTGCCACATGAGCTGGCAATGTACAGGAGTTTCTTCTACATGTGTTTGACCTAATTGATATGCAATATCCATAGTCCTACAACTGTATTCACTGGGAAAGAAAAATAAATTTTTCCCACCCTTTATGGTTTCCATGCCCACCTTCTATACTTTTGCCTTGAGATCTACAATATACATGTAGTTAGTTGACACAAGTGTATATAGTCATTAAAAAGAGCTCAGTTTACACGATACTCTACCAATGGTTAATTTGAAATTGTGCACAGTTTCCTTAAGATGTACATGTGACTGCCATTTATATTGCTGTATGCTTGATCGACCATAGCACATACAGTGGTTTTTTTACCTAAATATGCTAAAGTTAAAAAGACAGTTATATTGTATTTAGGTCTTACTTTTATATTTTAGTTAATTATGTTTTATGTGTGTTTTAAATATCATATTTGAATGGTTTAAAGATATCTATGAGTTTAACATAAAGCTGTCCCACTGTGATAAATGGTCTTTGCATAATCTGAGTATGTAAAGTAAAAATATTAAATGAAAGCAGATATGAAAGGCTAATTAGTAATACTATTTTATGCTGTCATAATAAATAGATGTAATTTTCTATTACAATATTCAGTAATTCTAGAAAAACAAAATAGTAAATCAAGACTCATTTGATATTTTTTCAACTTTTCATTTTACTCTACACTGCAAATTTCACTACAAGTAGTGTTACATTAGAGAAAATAAAATATACAATATAAAGTTCTACTGAAAAAACTTGATATTTAATTTGAAGGTTCTACAGACTATGCAAACTAAATAAGATGAAAAGAAGTATTTTTATCCTTAGCTCAAAAATCACCTTGCACTCAGGCTGACCTAGTAAAAGCTTTGTAAATTCAGAGTATAAATACTCTGTACTGTTTAGACTTGTACTGTTTAGTAAAAACTTTCAAAATTTTGAGAAAATACACCAAGTACATTCAAAAGTTAGCATGTAAAGTTTTATGGTTACAAGGTTGTTGAAAATGATCGAGACTGTATCTATAGAATTAGTTTTTATTTCATGTAAAAAGTTCAATCAACAATTGAAACTGTAGGAAATCTTTGAAAAATTAGCATTCTCTTGTACCCAGATAACTCATTCTTGAAACAATCTGCATATATAGTAGACTTTCTTTACTTGAAACTATCTGCATCTATAGTAGACTTTCTTTACTTGAAACTATCTGCAGCTATAGTAGACTTTCTTTACTTGAAACTATCTGCATGTATAGTAGACTTTCTTTACTTGAAACTATCTGCATGTATAGTAGACTTTCTTTACTTGAAACTATCTGCATGTATAGTAGACTTTCTTTACTTGAAACTAGAAAGTCTACTATACATGCAGATTTACTTCTACAATTATACATGTTTACTTTTAGCAAGGATAACGTTTGCACACACTCACCCAAACATGAAATATTAGCCATGCTTTTAAAACTCTGTTATCTAAGATGCAAAGGTTAATATTTTCCATCATTGAAAATATATTCCCAATAGATATTTACTTCCTCTCACAAAATAGTTTTCCTCTCTATGTTTATATTTTTGCTTGTTACTAGTCTTTACTCTCCCATCTACTTCCATGATTTTCCATATGGTATAGTTGCATTGTAGCATGCAAGTAAGCATGTGACAACCCTCCAATAGGAGTGAGACACACGCTCCTAGCACAGCTGGCTCAATGTATGCAGTAAAACCCAATCTTCACTACGAGATGGAGCACAAACACATCAGATGTGGGGAGGATGGGTGCGAAGTGTGAAAAGAGGTATCTATCAGAAATATATTTTCAGCATAAAAAATATTAACTTCCAATATGATATCTTACCTCCTCTCACAAAATAACTAGAATCCCACACTGACCAGGTGGAGGGACCAGCATAAAAGTTAAATATAAGAGTCCCTTTCAGATAGCATTGGAAGAGTACCCAAAGAATGTGCCATCTCAACGTAAAGGAAACACAATCATAGGAGACTGCACCACATCTAAACTAGGTTGCACTTGATGAATGAATGTGTTGCAAAATTAGCAGAAAAAAGGCACATCTGAAAAGAACAAAAAAGTATCTTCGGTGTAGAGTGGATAGGACACGTTGGACTGTAAGTGGGAGGTCAACTGCAGTCCAAAATCAGCAGCACTGAGATTGGATCAATCAGGCCATGGTAGGAAGAGGGTCTTCTACCATTCACCTCAGAATCAAAAACCAGAAGGGAAGAAGTACTCCCATTCCAAGAACCCAAGTCATCAGGTTTGCATATCCAACATGACCAACACCTGTGCACCCAACATCCAGATGATGGTAGGAAGGTGGAAATGCAACATGGTGAGTCAACTCAAGTCCAACATCACGTGGCATTGGGAATGTATTATTTAGTCTGCAGTAGAAGGAGGGTCCCAGTCCACTCACAACTGAGGACTTATGTTGACAGGTGTGGCTCCAACCAACACCAGTCGCCCAAAAACTAACATAGAGGTGGCAGTATGAAGGAGGGTTCCCAGTCAGAGTGGTGAACTGCATATTAGAATGTGATGGAAATATTCAGTACACACCATACTGAGTGGAATTGAGCACACACAGGAGGAAGCCTCCATGGTCCACCACCCCAACAACTAGGAGTCTGTAGGTGATAAGGACTCTATACTCCACTAGAAAGAGAGGGGTGAAAAATGCTTTTAAGAGTTTAAAGGAATGCAGCACTATAGAAAGTGCAATGGGTGATGAGATGTCCTATTTTGAAAAGCAGACCATACCCAATTTATACAATCAAGTAAACAGCAGGGATGGGCAGTAATCCCCTTCTGCTTTACTCCTGTTAGTCCATGAGTAGACAGTCCAAGACAAACATATTTAGGATGCAAGACAATGCAAGGATGAACCTACAAGCGGTCTTGCTAAACACCTCATCTCAACAGTGAGCATTAGCAACTTCATTGGTTGTAAAGTGTGAATTATGAGTGTGAATGATTATACCTGGACAGGCACTACTCGCCAAAAGAAGTGAACCGAAGGGAGAGTCCACTTGAAAAGAAGCAGTCTGACCCCTACTGGACCGGATCCTATGGGATAGTCACCAATACCATTGTCAACATGCAGGCCAGCAGTGAAAAAGAGTATACTATGAAAGAGCAACCTGTGAGGAAGGAACAGGTAAGGGAGAATAAGGAGAGAGCATTATAAAGGGGCAGGAGCTGGGGAAAGTTGCAACAAATGTGTGACCAGGTAGGGGAGAGAAGTATGTAAACAGGCAGATTCCACACTTAACTCCAGTGAGTCAGGAAGATCCCCAAAAACAGTTTGCTGTAAAAAGGGGGCCATGCGTAGATCTTTAAAAGATGTAGGGTGGAGATGCACGAAGTTAAAAGAGCCTCCCTACCTAAAAGGTCTCAACAACAAAGGAGCAATGTGTGGAGGGAAAGGGCAGAAGGAGGACAAGTATACCAACAACGACAGGAAGAGGGAACAGGTACCTATAAATAGGAGAGGTGATGAGTCATAGGACACTGGAGAGAAAGACAAAACATAAAATACCTGTGATACTAACTCCAGAAAAGGAGAAGAAGGTCATGGTGCATCCACGGTCTGAAAATGAGACTGCACAGCAAAGAAAAGGGGAGGTATAAGGCTGTCCAAATCCACATCATCCTGCTTCAGAAGAGAAGAAGTGATGTTCAAGAGACATCATGGCCTACATGAAGGAAGCCATCTCCCAGCAGACAAGGGCCAAAACTTCCTTAGCCAATACCATCAAACCTGAAGCCATCATGATAGTGTCTGAAGCAGTAGTGGTTGCAAGTTGAAACCGTGAATCCCTGTGAATTTGTCTGAGTGTAATAACACTCTACAGAAAATAGATGAAGTTAAATCAATGTGAACCAGTTATGAAACTACACAAAAAAGATGGTAAATGAAATGAAAAAAAAATTAAATTAAAAAAAAAGTTTTTGAAGTTTGAAAATGAAGGCAAAGTCAGAAATTTAAAAGGCAATTGAACATCACATTAAACGAATGGTGAGCGAGATGTCTGATCACTGTCGTGCCAATTCGAGAAGTGAGGATTGGGTTCTACTGCATAGAGGGAGTCAGCTGCACAAAGAGGGTGTGTTTCACTCCTATTGGTGGATGATTGTCCCATTTTTATTTGCAAGATACAATGCAGCTATATCACATGGAGGTAGGTAGAAGCATAGAGGCTAGTGCCAAGCAAAAAGTTGAACATATAGAAGGCAGTGCAAGTCGAGGAAAACAATTTTGTGAGCGGAGGTAAGATATCACATCGGAAATTACCAGTTTTATATGAAGGACTGATCGATCTTAATAATGATTTACTATATATAAAATTGTTTTCAATTTAGTTACATTAACTAGAAAATGTTAACAGCTACTGGTAGCAACTATTGAATCAAACAGCATGAATAAAAAGCCTTCGTGGATTTAGTTCATGTGTTTGTATTACAAACAGGCCAATTTAAACTATGTGTAAATAGGAGTACAAATATTTATTACCATAATGTTAACAAACAAATTTCTATACTACACCTCTAGCAGAACAGAAGCATTTCATCACACAAAAATGTCCTCATTAGTAATAATTTTAGGTGTAAGTTAGCACATCAGTATAAAGTTTCATAACACTACAGTGAGTAACTTATTTCATGTTTAATCAGTTTCTCCGTCAATGATGTCACAAAATTCATATGCAATTAAAATACTCTAGCAATAAAACATTATGTCACTTACCCATAACATTTCTTACAAATTCAGGAGGTTCTAGAACTTTCTTATCCTTTCGTCTCTCTGGTATGATAACTGGCTTCTCCTAAAAACATTAATGAAAATGTATAATTTTATTCCAAAAAGATCTGTTTTTAAGAAAGGTAAAAAACAGCATTTAAATTTAATAGAGTACTTGTTATTTGACTAATCATTTAGATTAAACATTCTGTGTGTGTGTTTTCATTCTATCAATTCATGGGTTTCTGCAGGGGGAGCAAAGGAGCACCTGGTAAATGAGAAACATAATTATTTCTTTATTCATTCAGCATATACATATATGAATTTACAAGTTTTTTATTCACAATTTTACATACTTATCACACTTAATTTTCATTTCTAATAAAAATCACCAGGTTTGTCAGCAGCTTTACTTAAACCTCTCCAGATACCTACCCTGTAGCTAAATATTGAAAACGTTGCTACATGGCAGCCTCTTGGATATTGGACATGGCAATTCTCACTCAGGTCATCAAAGAGACTGACGCTGTCTTACCAACATCCCCTAAACCCTGAATCAGTGTGATCAGGGTCAACATGTTGCCACCTGCCTGTAATACTGGCACCAGGTTATCAAAGAGACTGACGCAGTCTTGCAGACATCCCATGATATAGCGTGGTCGGAGTCAACCTGCTACCAGTATCATACATAGAATCACAAAGAAGTATCAACATCATAATCTATCTTACCAACATCTCCTAAGCCCTGAATCTGTGTGATCAGGGTCAACATGTTGCCACCTGCCTGTAATACCGGCAGCAAGTTATCAAAGAGACTGACGCAGTCTTGCAGACATCCCATGATAGAGCGTGGTCGGAGTCAACCTGCTACCAGTATCATATGTAGAATCACAAAGAAGTATCAATATCATAAGCACCAACATTTTGTCATGGGTAAGGTCATATGTAATAAGCTTGCTACCAGCAAGTTACTTCAGTTTTAGGTAACTTCTTACTGATAAGCTGTGGATTTACTTGGTTAGAAGACATCAGGTCATAAAGTACAAAACACTCAAGCTAATTCTGTAAAAGGTACTTAGATTTTCAAAACAATATTTTTCATTATGGTTATATTAAGAGGGGTATTTTCAACCTCAAACTACTTGGTGCATTCTTCTTAGGGGGGCCTGTTCACATTGATCAGTTACTGAAATTCGCATTTTCAGTTTCAAAATATATTAGCCTTAAATGTTGTTCTTACCAAACATACACAATAAATGCCATTGAAATATTGTACTTTATGTAACTTCAAGTTACTGTACGCATGTAAACAGATGTTTTATATCAGCTGAAATTACTCTATAGGGTTAAAAACCTAAAATAACAAACCAAAATTTACTATTATGAAGTATATGTAGCTGCAAATCTGCAGTATGGCTTAAATTAACCTTACAAATATGAAACCCACCAAATCTGACTATGGGATCTTGCCTATTCTCTTGACTGTAATGGCAAAACTTTGAAGGCAGATCCATCCTCCCTTGATTTTGACTTTGCACTCCATGGAAAAATTTCTGTAGGCACCCATGTCTATCACTGTTTTGCTGAATTTTGTTGAAAAGCCTTACTGGTTAATTTACTGTATGTTGCTTCTTACTATTTTCTTTTATAAATATCACATTTTTGTTTTCCCAAGACACAGAATTTGAAACAAGTCTTGTACTGTGATAATAGTTTTATATTATTTATATTTATAATAACTATACCGGTATCTTTTTTTGAGTAATATTTTTTAAAGCACTGATCCCTAAGAACACTATCCAAATGTTAAATATACGTGTACTGCATTTAAAATGAAAGTTTTTGGGTAACTGTATACCCATAATAATCTTATTCTCCTCTATCTCTAACATGTAACACATGTATGTTAAGTATATTGTTCTTTGGTACAGTGAAGATGCACTCAAAGTATTGCCTGAATTGTAGTTGTGTGCATTCTGTTTAGCACCAAGTTATTGATTTACTATAGTTTTGTTCATATAAAATCGTAAACTCAATCCCAAGAATTAAGTGTATGTAACTTATGTTATCCTGTACCTACTAGTAATCTCACAAGTCACATTTATACTTAATATATTTATAATATATATAATTAATGTCACAAACTACATCATTTAATCTATGTAGTGTCCTGAGGGTACATAGCCATTTTCAAACAAACTTTTCTATAATAAACTTTATTACCCTAAACAAACAGACAAAATATTTAAAAAACAATACTAATTTCTGCTACAGGCCTCCATCAGATATAGATTCATTGAATACATGTATTATTATTGTAAATAAAATAATTTTTCAAACATGAAAGAATACACCAGTTATGAACAACAATACTGATGGTAATAGAAAAAAACATCAGAACAATCTTAATGAGTACTTGTTCTAAAAGTCTTTCAAACAAATCAACTCTTTCAGGCAATTGTTATTTTTTGTGTGTGTTTGAAAAATGTTTGAGATAATTACTCCATCTATGAAGTTCTGATATTTTTTTCTTGTGGCCATGGAAAGCTACTAATCATATTTTCAGCTTGTTACAGGTTTCATACTATATTGTATATATGATACATTTTCATGCACAACAAGTAACTTAATTCTAAATTATCATACCTGAGACATCTATCATTAAATGAAAGATAGTTGGAAAATGTCTTTAAAAAACAAGACCAAAAAACTATAAAGAGAAAGGTTAATCTCATGTGAGAATAACTGAATAGTTGAATGTAATCACTTATTGAGCATGAACATTAATCAATTAGCTGATTTCACTAATCAACCATCTCAAGCATCTGATTCTTATAATTACCACCACAGGAATAGTGATAATAGAGGCACTTCACATTGGGACTAATTACAGAAAAGAAAAATATCTACAAACCTCAATCTCAACATACATACATCTATAGATACTAGATACCTCTCAGATACTCATCCAATCCTTTCTTAAACTCTTTCAATATTTCAGCTTCTATATACCTGAATGCAAGCTCTTCCAACTTAAAAAAGAGAAAGACTGTCATAATTAATTGTGTGGGATTTCCTTATCTTAAACTTATGTTCTCTTATTTTCCTAACTATAAAGTTTTTTATGAAAACATCATTAAAATTTGTATGTTCAAAACTCTTCAAAACCTAAAAAACAAGGATTTCTCCCTCAAGCCTTTCTTCTCTCCATTGAAGAGATCATGAGATTTTAACCTAACCACATACAACAACAACATCTTCAAAACTTCAACAATGTCTTATTATGATATTTAGAAAAGAATAAACTTTTATCCAAAATCCAAAATGCTTAATGTAAAAAGAGGCAAACAGCTGACCACTCAGTCAGACTAATGGAATCAATAATTCAAAGATTTAACAAAAATCACACCACTGTAGGTCTATTCTTAGATGTAAAGCAAGCATTTGACTCTGTTTGGCACCAAGGCCTGGGCTATAAACTTCTTCAGTTTAAATTCTTGCCCATAATCATAGGATGGATTTCCGGTTTTTTTTATCAGATAGAACAGCCAAAGTCAAAAATGTTGTATCTAACCCAGTCAAGTTATAAGGAGTACCCCAGGGTTCAATACTTAGTCCCCTTCTATATATTCTATTTGTAAATGACACCCCCTTCCCCAAATTAACTCTCACCCACATTTCCCAAGATGCAGACAACATTGCCTTCTGAAGCACCTTGCAAGAGTTCTTACTAGCCACATCTAAACTATTGAGTGAGATTTGAACACCATATTGGTTGTATTGAACACTACATGCCATGTGTTACACCAACCTGTTATGAAAATGGTAACAGCTAACATGTCACACATACACTATAACAATATTCAAAGAGTTCAAACCTCACTCAATAGCTACAAAAGGTTGGTGTAACACATGGCATGTAGTGTTCAATGCAACCAAAACTCAAGCCATTATTTTCAAGAGAAATATAATGCAGAAATGAAAGTCACTTCCCAAAGTGAAATTAAAACTGTACAACACTGATCTAAAATTTTCAAGGACAGCTAAATTCTTAGGTATTACATACAACAATAAACTAACCTGGTCAGACCACTGCAAGATAATTACAGCAAAACTTTACAGAATATTTCACTATCTGAGAAAGATAGGAGGAATAGTCAAAGGCTGCCGAGCCAATAAAATCATGTCTATCTACAAAGCATTCATATGCCTGATAATAGAATATGGTCACATAGTAACAGCTAACATGTCACACATATAATATAACAATATTCAAAGAGCTCAAAATCATGCTATCGGAAGAGCATTCCAGCTTACGAATACATTCCCACTGAATATCTAGAAAAGTCAGTAAAATACCAAATATCAGAAAAGGAATAACAACACTTACAACTAAATACTTTAAAAAATCAGCCAGTCGAACAGAGTTAACTAAGCAATTTCCATCACTAGCTGCCACCCCTGAATTTGGCAATTTTACACTTTGCCATTTAACAAAAATAAATGTGAATGTCTAACCATACATGACCTGATCATTTCACAGCAATTGATACTGGTTGGGTAGAATATTTGATGCTCTACCAGTGAAAGTGGGTTTTCTCAGGGTACACCCATTTCTCCACACATCTAAATCAAACAGGGCATTGAATCTATAGATCTCTGCCCCCCTGAAAATAGCCATTTATATTAAGAACTTAATAAACTAATAAGTAAAAACTAAATAAAAATGTAATTGATAGAGTAATTATAAAACTTAACATAACAGTTGAGCCAAAAATATGTGATTTTCTGGTAAACCAGAACTAATGTGCTTTCTTCAACTTCTCATCTACTGGTACCATCAGCTTACAGTCTATACCATCAACCCAGCCTGTCTAGGTGGACTCTGATGAAAGGGAGACAATTACTTAAAGTATGAGATACAACTGTGGTAATCCACAGAGTAACGCAAGTGAATCTATCACAGATTGTACAGTAAGAAACAAAGTAGACAAAAATAGTTTGTCTTGTCAATTGGATTCTAAAGTAATTGAATCAGCCTGAGTGGACTTTTGACAAGAGAATTACTTAAGAGTTTTAGATACAACTGTGATATCCTATAGTGTAAAGAATTTTGTACATATGTTTAACCTGTTTTGAATATATTATTTTAAAACAAGTGGATTGTGTGCTGTCCATTTATTGTTCAAATTTATTGCCAACAAGTCACAGACACCTACTGTAGAAGAATCCCATCCTAGCCCATGTACAAAACCTGACACCGATTGACCAACTAAAGAAAATGAGCCTGAGGTGGCTGATCAAAATTGGCTTCATGAGAAGCTGACCTAATAAATGAAGGTGTCAAAAATGAGAATATAAATTCTCTCCAAAATGTCCAGTATCGTCCGCCAAAGCAGCTTCAGAGCCCCAGGAGAAACATCACTGAATTTAATGTCTCTATCTCACTACAAATCAGATCTTGGACAGCCTCAACTGAGAGTGACCACTTCTATATAATGATTTCTATGTAGAGAACCTAGACTACCACTTCTATGTAGTGATTTCAATGTAGAGAACCTATACAACCACTTCTATGTAATGATTTCTATGTAGAGAACCTAGACAACCACTTCTATGTAATGATTTCTATGTAGGGAACCTAGACAACCACTTCTATATAATGATTTCTATGCACAGAACCTAGACTACCACTTCTATGTAATGATTTCTATGTAGGGAACCTAGACAACCACTTCTATGTAGTGATTTCAACGTAGAGAACCTAGACAACCACTTCTATGTAGTGATTTAAATGTAGACAACCACTTCTATGTACAGAGCCTAGACTACCACTTCTATGTAATCGATTTCTAATGTAGGGAACCTAGACAACCACTTCTATGTAGTGATTTCAACGTAGAGAACCTAGACAACCACTTCTATGTACAGAACCTAGACTACCACTTCTATGTAATGATTTCTATGTAGGGAACCTAGACAACCACTTCTATGTAATGATTTCTATGTAGAGAACCTAGACAACCACTTTTATGTAATGATTTCTATGTACAGAGCCTAGACTACCACTTCTATATAATGATTTCTATGCACAGAACCTAGACTACCACTTCTATGTAGTGATTTCAACGTAGAGAACCTAGACAACCACTTCTATGTAGTGATTTAAATGTAGACAACCACTTCTATGTACAGAACCTAGACTACCACTTCTATGTAATAATTTCTATGCACAGAACCTAGACTACCACTTCTATGTAAAGAACCTAGACTACCACTTCTTTGTACAGAACCTAGTCTACCAGTTCTATGTAGTTATCATTTACTGTAATTGGCCCTATAAATGAACCCCTACACACTCATTTGCTCATGGGCCATCAGAGTAGAAATGGGAAGGGGTTCATGAGACAGTAACTTATTCTTTCTCAGAATGTAAACAGACAGAACTGTGGGCAGGCACTAAATTGTATGGTTCTCCTCATTGGACTTTGAATTAAATCTGAGAAGCGAAGTGCATGTATCACTTGTTCTCAATGTAAGTTTATTTAAGCATCTGTCATGAACTCCATAATTTCAGGATAGGCTAGACATGTAGACCTAAAATTTCAAAAAAACAAAACATACAGGCCAACCTCTATGTTATAAAAATAAAAGCTGTCTTAGTTGAAGATGACTCCTACCCTGCCAAAATTTACAATGTCACCTAGTCTAACCATTCTCAGATTTAAATATGAAAAAAAATGATTCATCAACACTATCAATTACCTTAATAATCTTAAACAACTCAATCAAATCCTCAGTAACTTCTTTTTTCATGAAAAAAAAAGGAGCCCAAGACTGAACACAACACTCCAGTTGTGACTTAATGAATGACCTTATAATCTCTTTAAATTTGTATTCAGTATTTCTGTAGATGCAACTTAAAATCCTATTTTCCATACCACTAGCAATAGTACAATGGCTTAAAAAACTGATCAGCCAGTGCACCAATTTCTTTTTGTTTTTACTTCCATAATAATTTTAAGGTTATTCCCATCAAAACTGTACTTATATTTCAAATTGTGATATCCCACATGCATTACTTTGCATTTATTACAATTGAAAGCCATCTGATATTTATTCACTACACAGTCTTAACTCATCAAATAATCCAAATTCTTTTGCATTACACTAGCATTCTCCTCAGAGCCAGCAACACCCAAAATGTTATCAGCAAATTTATGTAATCTATTGACCATTACTTCATCTATGTCATTGACGCAAGTCAAAAAGAGCAAAGGTCCTAACACTGAACCCTGACATTAATCCAATTTGACTGAACTCCATTTATGAGAACACCCTGCTTTCTTCCATCTAGCCAGTTTTCTATCCAGTGAGTGAACTTATTCCCCATACCTTTTTAACAAGCCTTTTATGTGGCCCCTTGTCAAATACTTTTTGAAAATCCAGATTCATCAAATTCACACCTGTACCCTCAACTATACAAGCAGTAACCTCTTCAAAGAATGTCAAAAGATTAGGCAAGATTTTCCCCAGTGAAACCATGCTGACTATCCAACAAAATTTTAAAATTTGTTAAATGACTTTATAAAGTATCTTATTAACAGACTTTCAAAACTTTTTCCCTCCATTAATGTAAGACTAATAGGCCTATGATTATTATGACAATTACTGGGATAAAGAGTAATAACATTAGCCAACCTCCTATCTTCTATCACCTGCCCACTATTCAAGGATTTAGAAGAAGTTACAGTAAGTGGCTCATATATAGAGACAGTAAACTTAAGCAAGTTTAAGAGAAAGCTTGATATCTATATGAATGATAAGAACTGGCTTTAATTTTTTTTAATACTTTTAGCTCAGTTTAGAGGATGGGATAACCAAGATGGATCAATAGGTCCCTCGTTGTCCATAAACATTATGCTATGTTAAAACCAGTGGGTAAATTATATACGGACCAGGAGCTTTATCATTTCTTAAAATTCCCAATTTTTTATTAAAAAGCTCAGAATTAAAGTGATTATCTAATTCCATCTTGTTTTAATCCAGTAACTGTTTAGGTTGTAGAATATTGTTTAAATCTTCCTTAGTAAAAACTGAAGAAGTAAATTAACTTAACAGTATCACTCCTCAAAAGTCTTACTCCCATCCTAAGATTTTGCTTATCTTTAATGTATTTAGAGAAATTATTACTATTCATTTTTTACAGTCAACCTTTTTTTTCACCAAGTTTTTCATTTCCTAATTTCCCATTTGACCAGCTCTTAATCTTCTATATTCCCCTAAATCTCCCATCATTGCTGTGAAATTAAACTTCATATTTATAATGATTTTATTTACATTTACTTTCTATATCCTTTGTGAGTAAACCTAGTATTTTACTTATAGCCACCCTTTTTTTCTATCTATAAGGAACATGCCTATCTTCAATTTTTCAAATTTATTTATTTTTCCACATTTGATCAGTATATCCAACTTATTCAGTTGCCCAAATTGCAGCATATAATTCTTATCTCATCTCTTCAAAATTTGCTTTTTTGAAATTTGGAACCAAAATCTAAATATTCCTTATCTCTATATGCAGCAAAACATCAAATCTAATTCACCAATGATCACTTGCACTCAGATGTTCCTCAATCTCTATCCTATCAACCATTTCTTTTTTAATAAATTTAAAATAGCACTGTTGTTATTCATTAACAGTTAAAAAAAAAATATGCAGCCCAATCTACCAGTATTACCCAATTCACTGCTAGTTATGGAGAATTCCATTCCTTAACAGTAACCATGGACAAAGACAAATGAAAACTAAGCTGCTTGTAAGTTGTAGTTGTGGAGTGTAAATGTATGGTGTCTTTTAGTTTCATTCACGACAACATATGACATGCAGATTTCCCCTAAACTGGTATAAGTTCATAACAATTAGTGAATCAATTGATAGCATGGCTTTATATTTACTTTTCTTTTTTATTATTTGTCTGATGAATAATCAAAGAGAATAAATTAGTATTAGTAGCACAAATGCTACACACCATTCTAACTAATCTATGTTCTAACTTCATATACTAATACTACACACACTGACTGTGGCAAGTAAAACTAAAGCCAGTAAAGTACAACTCAGAACACCATAAGTAAAATTACTATGATTAGTATTAGTAATATTAATAAAAATATTTGTATTATACTAACAGTAACACAAAGAGTTAATGCTTTAAGTATTACTATTTCTATTAGTTTTAGTATTAGTAATGATATTAGTTCCTAAAGATTCTCGTTAGCCATAGTGCACTACTAGTGGAACTACTTTATTATTTATATATTAGTTCTAAATAGTAATATTACTAGTAGTAGTAGCACTACAAGAGACGTAGTCGAGTATAACTTCTGAGATAGTGTGTAAATTTGACTACCGTTATTAATACATCTGTATTCTAGACGTACAAAATTTTGAATCAAGCGTTGAAGTTTAATCTTCTGAAGATCGGTGGCTGTCTTTGGAATAATGACAGGTTGCGAAGCATTCGACTTTTTGCCTAACTCTAAATTAGCTTCTGAATTATCGGTCGTCGCCATATTTTCTCATGGACATTCTCGAAAAATCTCGTGAAATCAAAGAATTTCCGCGAAAGTGTTTATGTTGTATGATTGTTTCGTTTCTAAAAATTTATCATATTTCAGCCTTTTTTCAAAATAAAACCTAAGTGCTACACTTTAGGAATTACACATGTTAGATAATAAATTATTCGTAAGAACTAACAATGTGATCGTTGACCTTTCGGTTCTTGAAGGTCACATCAGCTTTGCAAATACGAATAAAGAAACACCAACAACCTAAACACATAATGTTTAGAAATAGGTTAAATGGGTAACGCAAATAACTTTATTGCATTTTAATTTAAATGACAAAAGTACAACATTTCGACAGAGTTTTACACCTGATGATTGTAAAACGTTCTTGTAACATTGTACTATTTTATTAGGTCAACTTGTTAGAAAGTTTTCTGCGTTACCCATTCATGCCGTCTCCAACTTTATTAGTCTCAAAATGATTTCCTTATAATTATCAGGTTTTTAATATGGGCCGGATTCTACACATTACGTGTCTGTGATTTGTTGGCGATAATTTTCAACAATAAACAAACCTGCACACAGTCCACTTGTTTCAAAATAATATATTAAAACAAGTCAAACGTATATACAAATGTTCGTTACACTGTTGGTTATCGCAATTGTATCCATAGCTTTAAATAATTGTCTCCTTTTCGTCATCTTTCTTGAAACCTCTAAGTTTTGCTCATTATGTGAATATTTTTGCTAATAGAGGGATAGATATTCCTAGATTTTTCTGTCGCGTGTTAAAATATGTGCAGATTCAGAAAGTTAAGTTCAATCAGAAAAAAGTTAAGCTAGTGAAAGTGAAGTTAGTTTGCGTGATTGTTAGTTTAGCTGTAATGTGCAATATTCTAAAGTGAGTTTCACAGTTTAACTGAGATGAGGAGAGTAATTTGTCTGTCAAAGGGTCTTCTAAAGTAATTGAACCAACCTGGGTGGATTTTCACAGACATCTACTTTAAAAGAATCCCAGCCCATACCCAAAATCCTGACAGACAGAAAGACGTTCATGTCACCTATGACCACTCCTTTATTTTACAAAAAAATGACCAAGCTAAATGTTTTCTTCCACATTCATATACTCATCTGAAAAAGGGTGTTTAAGAACTTGACTATACGTGTGGTATACAGGTATGATATTCCGGCATACCATACATTTTCTTCCTGGTTTTAGTTATATAGCTTCTATGCAATTTGTGTATACACACACATGGTCCAGAAAACTACCAAAGTTGCCTTGTTCTAGTTGCTTTGTTTCTTTGTACCATATAATAGATAGTGTTGCGTCAGCGAGGTCACGTGACTAGTATCACGCCACTCCTTCTCTCGAACCTTCGGGAATTGTCGGGAGAT